GCCGCCGCCGCTGAGGACTACCACGAGGCCGAGGGCGCGCGGGGCCGGGCCCGCGCCGTGGAGAACCAGTACTCCTTCTACTGACCCTGCGCCCTGGGCCACCGAGCTGGACTCGGCGCCTCTTGCCGCCAGGTCGGCCATGAGCTGCTCCTCTTGGCGTTGGGAAGCGACGTCCCGGATGGAGCCGGCGCCGGTGCTGCGCTTGGGGCTGGGAGACGGAAAACATGTGTGGGAGCCCGCGGAGCTGGCGGCAGCCTCCCCTTCCCTCCTGGCCTTGGGAGCTTGCTGGGCTCCTGGGAAAGTTCAAAGCAGAGGCCTGAGGTGCTCCTTCCTGCAGCCCAGCCTTCCCGTGGGGTAAGTGTGGCCAGTGCCCTTGGCATGGCGCGTGCCCCCCGAGTCTTGCACAGGAGCTGCCGCAGGGCGCCGGCATTGCAGGATGCCCCGGGAGGCGAGCGATGTCCCCGGACACCGCTGTGCGTGCAGCTCCGCCAGCCCCGCGCTCCCTCTCCGCTGCCAGAGCCGCCAGGGGCTCATCCCACCACGCTCCTGAGGTCCCACAGGAGTGTCCAAGGAAGGTGCTTCCTACTCTCTGCCAGGGCTTTTTCCACCAGAGAATGTCCCTCGTTCAAGGAAGGTTCCTCCTGCTCCTCTGCCATTTCCATTCCTTCGCCCTCTCCCTCTTTGCTGGAGCTACAGGGATAACCCTGGACAAGCGCTCTTGGCCTCCTCTCTTGCCCGGCTTTCAAAGCGGAGCTCTCGGCAGGGGTGTCACCTCGGCCGTTTTGTCACTGTGGCCGGGCAGTGCTGCGCTCTGCTCCATGGCGATCACTGCAAGCCGTGGCAGCGAGCCCACATCATGGCAGCGAGCCCACTTCATGCAGTGGCCTTGTCCACACGGGCACCGGCAGCTGCCCCTCTGGGCTCCCCACTGAAAACACTACGGATCTGCAGTCGATGCTTTTGAAGGTTTTGTTTTCTCATAGAAATTGAAATGACAGAATGCCAGAGCCCTGGCACAGGGTGCCCAGGGAGGCTGTGGAGTCTCCTTCTCTGGAGGTCTCCAAACCCACCTGGATGCCGCCCTGTGCCGCGTGCTCAGGGTGTCCAGAGCAGGGGTTTGGACTAGATGATCTCTAGAGGTCCCTTCCAACCTCAACCATTCTGTGGCTCTGTGAAACGCCCAGGAGGCGCAGGAGGAACGGGTCCGCTTCCACATGGGCTAACAGCTACACACAGCAGAGCTGGCAGGTCAGGTTGGCTGTGGGGAGAACCGGGATATCCCTCACAGAACCAACGTGTCGGCTGGCAGGAGCAAACCCAGGCAGCAGTCACCTTTTGTAGTGACTGACGTGGCACCTAGAGCAGCCACCACTGCTTTCTCTCCGGGTCTCTCGAGCCCTCGGGCAGGATTACGCGCCAGGACGCTTATGGAGGCTTTGCCTGGGGAGTTGCTGTGTTGGGCAGTTGTGCGTTGGGTCGGGCTTTCTTTTTTTCAAGGTGCCTTCTTCCCTGAGCTAGCAGAGCGCGTACCCAGCTCTCCTGCCAGAGCCGCTCGGTTTCTCCCACCAAAGGAGCAGGGAAGGTGTCTTGGGGGCTCCTCCTCTCCTGCCGCACGAGAGCAGGATGGATGTGCGGGATGTGGCCAGGAGGTCCCGTTCCTGCAGCACGCGGCACCGTCACCCCAATACACAACCATTGTGGCTGCACCCGGCTCAGCACCTGGCTTGGAGATGTCCGGAGCAGCCTGTACAGCTCTCGGGACACCTCTGAGCACCGCAGGGAGAGGCCACATGCTCCTGGTCAGTGGGTTTGATACAGACCTGCTTCCTTCACACACACATGGCAAAGAGGGGGGAGCGCTGGCTGCAGCTTTGTCACCCTTGGTCACCAGGCCGGGCGGTCGTGGGTGGGAGCACTGCCTTGGCGCTCTGTGTGAGGGTTGTTTCTTCATCTTCTGCATTGCAAGATAGGAGAAGGAGGGGGAAGCAATGACCTGCAAGCAAAACTGTTAATTTGTAAATAGGGGAGAGTCTGGAAGAGTTTACTGTTCTGTAGAATAAATTAATTTTATTTAAAAAAGTGACTTGCTAAACAAATGGAGAAGTTGAGTTCCAGTTTTAAAATAAAACCACTTGCAAAAAGGACAGCATATTAACAAGAGCTTGGGCCTTTTTTCCTGGGTTTGCTGTATGAAAAAAAAAAAGTTCCTTGTCCCTCCACCTCACAGGCTCCTGCTGGGGAGCTGGTGGCCATCCGCTTTCCGGGAGGTCCCCGTGTGCTCGTCCCACGGCATGGCAGCAGATGGATGCATTCATTGCCTGTCTGCACAGTCTGTTATTTTCTTTGGTTTGTCCTTGGAAAGTCAACCCAGAAGCAGACAGCAACGCAGATGACACTGATGCCCATGTCTGCCTCTCCTGCATGCTGGTTTCTGCTGGATCCCCTGGGAAGGCTGGTGCGTTGTCCCTGCTGGGCAGCGTGACGGATGTGGCTCCCAGACACAGCTAGCACATGGCTTTGGGAGGGCGGCAGGCGTGACGCCGCTCTGCAGTCAGGACACGGTTGCATCAGGGTTCATTCAGGAATAAATTCCCTCCCTAAAAGTTTCCAGAGTGCATTAACTGCTCCTGGTTGGCTCATCCATCAGGACCTGGGCAAGGTAATGGCTGTCTGCAAACGAGCTCCCTCTCTGTGCCCACCAGGAAGGCGGTGAAGGCTGTGCTGGGAACAAGCGCTTTGCTGCCGCAGCGTTCCCAGGAGGGCAGGGACAGGCAGGACAGTCCTGCGCACCAGGCCTGGCGATGCACGGGATGCAGCAAGGGTCTGCACTCATTCCCTGCTCGTGTGGTTGGAAAGCTGGCTGCTCCCGGGCCTGTTTTCCCCCTGCTGCTTGCGCGGGCTCTGTGGGATGGCAGGCAACCGCCCATCCTTTCCTTGGGTTGCGTGTTGTCGCCGCACAAAGCAGGGAGGCGGATGGAGCCAGGTGGTGGTTTCCCGGGTGGCGGCCGTGCCCGCAGGCACCGCTGCCCTCGTCCAGGGCTCGTCACCCGCGTCGTGTCCCTGCTGCCAGAGCCGCTGTGCGGCCGCAGCCGGGCTGTGGCGGCGAGGAGGCCTCGCGGGGCTGCCAGGAACGCCGCCCAGCCTAAATTCACACCGTTCTTTTATGGATCAGGTCGGGGGGACAAGATGGAGGCCTGACCGCTGCCATCGCCATGGCAACCCCCGAGGATGCTGAGGAGCCCTTTGTGGAGAGCACGGGGGCCAGGCCGGGCTCCGCTCGGCTGCTCCCCGTCAAGGGGGTAACAAATTCACAGCGACTTAATAAATCAAGGCTGCGCAGGAGAACCAGCAGTCTACAGAGGAGCCGACCCTGCGGCCCTGCTCCCGCCGCCCTCCCCACGTGCGCGGCATGAAGCCGTGTGAGACGCAGCGTTGCCATCCAGTCCCACTCCGCACAATGGCCGCGCTGGCGGGAGCCGGTGATGGTGTTGATGTCAAGGCGCCCAAGTGGAGAAGACAGCGGCGGGGAGACAGATGCTGCCCGCCGTGGCACCCCCAGCCCTCACGCCGCCATCACAGCGCCGGCATCACCATGGCGCCCCCGCCGCCACCATCATGGCGTCCCCCCGCCGCCATCATGGCGCCCCCGCAGCCGCCGCCATCATGGCGTCCTCCCGCCGCCACCACCATCATGGCGCCCGCGCCGCCATCATGGCGCCGCGGTGGCCCCTCCTCGTCGCGCGGCCCTGACGCCATCAGCCGGCGGCGCTCGGCAGCGGGCGGCCCTGAGGCCGGAACATGGCGGCGCCCTCGGCCCCGGGGCCGTCGCAGCCCCGCGAGGGGCTCCCGGCGCTCTTCATCCCGCGCACGGCCGCCGAGGAGCAGCGCGTCCGCCTCGAGCGCCTCATGAGGAACCCGGTGAGGGAGGGCGGCCGAGAGGGGAGAGGGGGATACGCCCCCCACTCCGCACCACCTTCTTGGGGTGCAGGGAGGGGAGAGATCCCCGCTCCGCGGGGTGTCATGGGCGGAGAGGGGCCCCGTTCCCTGCGGCCCGGCTGCTCCCTCTGCGCGCAGGGCTCTGGTCCCCCCGCAGCCCCGCGCTTTTAACGGGAAACCGGGACCTTGACACGCGGGGCTTGAGCCTGGCCTCGGACACCCTTGTGTGGAGGAGGAGGAGGAGAAGGAGGAGGCTTTGCCCGATGAGTCTCGGCCGCCCTCTCCACAGAGCCTTCCGGCCATCCCATTTTTCCTCCGTGTGTCTCAGCTTTCCCATCCCCTCCCAACCTTCCCAGCAGCGGACTCGAGAGGTTGCCCTGTTCCTTTCATCTCTTCCCGGAGTTTTTGGTGGGAATGTGGCCGCTTTCCACACCTCTCTATGGAGGTGCTAACTTAGCCGCTCCCATTCCCACACGGAAAACAAATGCGGATACTTGTAGTGCTCCCAGGGTGTTTGAAGGAACGGGGGAGGATGCCTGGTGGCTGTTGTTTTCCAGTGCGCTCCCGATCCCCGTGCACAAAGAAGTTACTACAGCTTTGCTTGCGCCGAGACCTGTCAGCTGGGAGAAGAGTCTGTTGTCGCGCACCTACCGCCTTTCGGCAACATGTTAAGCTTGCAGGCTTTGCTCTTCGAACGTACTAACGTCTTGTATCTTTTCTTGCAGGAAAAGACTGTACTGATTCCTGAAAAACTGAATGAATGGGCCCCGCGACCTCCCCCGGAGTTCGTGAGAGATGTGATGGGTAAAGACATTGTACTTCAGATAAATCTAGGAATCAGGAACACTAGAGAAGTATTTGACAGAAGAGCTAGAGACAGTTCTTTATTGTTGCTCATTTTGCTGGAGAGGAAGGGTATGAAATGTGCTTTTCAGGTTGATTTTTCAATTTTTCTTGGTTCTTGAGATTCGTGTCTGCTTGTGGTCAAGGTGCGAAGTGCCAAAGGTGCCACGTCCACCACGTGGAACCTGTGCTGTGTTAGCTACTGCTGTATTGATGAATGACAAGGCATAAGTAAATCTGTCCTTTCCTTAGGTCACCAAGTCCTGTGAAAATTATAATTTTCAAGTCCTGGCTTTGATTTCTTTATGTTCAGATCGTGGTCAGTGAGGAACTTGTAGGTGTTTATATATAGTCAGTGGGGAGCTCACATCTGCGCAAGGAACCCAACTGAAATGCTCTGGTGACTCTTCAGTTTTATCTACGGGGACAAGGTGGCTTGAATTATGTTCACTATTTGTGATATAAACTGTATCTGCATGTATAGGTTCTTTATTTGGGACCTCTGTCCCTATTAATGATTCTTTTTAGATTCTTATAAAATCTGTTCTTGTTTCAGTGTAGTTTTTCTTGGACTAACAGTTATAAACTTGGTCACTGGCACTTATCTTGCCTGGAAAAATGTAGAGTGATGGTTTTTCTCACCTTTTTACTGATGTTCACTTTTATAAGGAGTGTTGAAAATAGGTGAGAAACAGACTCAATAGGATATTTTAGTTGGCCTCTCTCTAGAAGCAAGTGGGATGCAAGCTTGATTTCTGTGGTTCATTTACTGTCTGGATGTTCTGTGAAGTCTGAATTATTTTTAAGAGGAAGTAGCTGATGTTTTGATAGTTGTATTATTGAGTACAAATTATAATGACCCATAAGGGTGTAGTTTTGCAACTCACTTCAGCTTTTGCTTATGTTTGACATATAGGTCTGAGCTTATAAAAATGTTGATATGCTCCGTGAGCTGTTCCCAGTTCATTGTCATCTTTCAGTGCCTTTTAGCATGTCAAGCCCCTCAGCACCTAGCTGTAGGCACTTAAGAACATCTAGTATCTGTTATTTTCTAATATTTATACTGTATTTTTTTGTTGTAGGTTCCAGCGCTGGAGCTGGCAGTGGGGAGTTTCATGTGTACCGGCACCTTCGGCGGCGAGAGTACCAGAGGCAAGATTTCATGGACGCCATGGCTGAGAAGGTCTTCAGGGCTCTTATAATTGTTGTTTGTTTGCTTATATTTTTGTGGTTTTTTTTTTCTGTTTGGTATTTGTTACTTTTTTTTTTTAAACATGTATTTAGAATTCAGTTCCAAACCACCTTTGATCAGAGGAAAATGGCATAGGAATATGTGATATGCCATGTCTTTGCTGGCACTGAAACATTTGGTACTTTGTATCAGGCACATTTCATCTTCTGTGTTCAGCGGTGGCCCTAGCTAAGGCATGGACAAAATGCCTTAAATGCAAAAAGTGCAAAAATGTTTTTGTTCTCATTCTGAGAACAATGCTTTAAATGCTAGAAATGCTTTAAAAACTAGTAGAAATGTCTTTAATAATAAAAAGAAAACCCTAATATCACTTATATTTTACAGAGACAGAAGCAAAGCAAGTTTATGTGTGCAAAGGGTTTATGGGTTGGGCTTGGTGATCTTCAAGGTCTTTTCCAGCTATTCTGTCTTCTGTCTATCTTTGAGTCCCATGGTAGAAGAGCATTTCTCAGAGACTGTTACTGTTGCTCTGTCTTGGCCAAGATGAGTCCTTTGATTCATATGTTAATGTTTATGTCCCTCAAATTATTTTATTGCTTTTCCTCAAATTGTTTTATTGCTTTTACTGGAGTATTCTGAAGGGCAGAAGCCAAAAATCCCTAATCTATCTATCTATCTATCTATCTATTTATTTATTTTGGTTCATGCTGCAGGTAGAAAATGTTTTCTGGATAGACGTGATCCCTAGAACCATGGCTTTAGTATTAAAAAAAGAAAAAAGCCAGACAAAATCTGGCCAAGCTCCCTTCTGTATTTTGCTAAAAGACTTCTCCCTACAAGGACATACTTCGGAAAGAAGTACTTTAATTTAGATTGTGACCAAAGTGTAACATGTGCTCAATTACAGCAAAAACTAGACGAGGAATTCCAGAAGAAACTGGAGAGGAATAAGATGATCGCGGAAGAGCAAACAGCAAAACGCAGAAGGAAGCGGTAAGGGCAGATTGTTCCCTGGAGGTTGACACGGAGCCCCCGATGTGCGTCTCGTTGAACTGTGTATTTTGGATAAGCGCTTTCATTCTGGGTCCCCATTTATCATCTGAGAAGTCTGGCTGTGCGAATTAGTTTTGTTATTATTATTATGTGGTTTCTAAAGGCAGCTGTAAGCTTGCCCGGCTTTGTTGGGGTGGTTTATTTTCAGTGCCATTGCTGTCAGGATAACTTTGGCCTTGCAAACATTTCTTACCTACACTAGTGTAGACTGCAATACACCTTCCTGTGCTATAGCAAAGCCAGGAAGCCCTTGTCTGTACATCTGGCTTGAAGAAATATCCGTAACATCTGACTTCAAGAAGTTTAAGTGCAAAAGAGGTTGCTGCATCCTGGGTGCCAGTACAGGTTAGTGCCAGCAGAGTGTGATCAGAGGATGCTGCTGTCGTACATCAGTACGACTGGTCTAGTTCATACTTTGAGTCTGTGAGTGCTCAAAAGGCAATTGCTGGCTATAGTACTGCTAACATCCATAGCTGCTTCTGTCTATATCAGTGGTGCGTGTGCCAGCTCAGGTCTACTAAATTATATGGAAATGAAGCCTTAAGAAATATAAAATGTTTCACTCTTATGTTTTAGCCAAAATGAAACAGCAATTGCAAAGATTGATGCTCTGAGAAATAGTCTGAGAACTGTAATGGAGGAATTTAAAATCAGCACCCTGTGCCAGTCTTAACTTTTGAGAAATAGCAAGGTACCATGGCTCAGGTCTTGTAGAGGTGCTAACCCTGGGCAGCTTCCTTCTTGCCTCCTGTGGCTGAAAGCTCCTCGCCTGTGCAAAGTGACTCAGTGGTATGTTGTCACAAATGTGCACAACAAAACCACTGCTGACATTTCATTTTAAATTAGTGTGGTCCAACAGATGGCCAGCGAGTCGGATCTAGCCTGCTGCCTTTTCCCTGGTGGAGACAGAGAACAACTGCTGAAGCAGCAGATTGGGGCCCAACAGTTTCCCTTCTGGTTTCCCCACATTCTTCTTCGGGAGAGTTCATGGTCTAATGGTACCGAATGGCAGCAGCCAGTAGGAATCTCCAGCTTCCCTCACCAGCCTTTCTCTTCCTACCCAGGCAGCAGGTAGGGGAGCTGGCTCCCTAGCTTTGCTAGGTTCTGCCTTTGCTTGGCGAGCAAAGCTGGTCATCGGAGCTGAAATCACACCTTATGCCTCATGTTGCCCAGTGTGCCCATCACATTGATTAGGGAAAGTCAATGCATAATGCCTTATTTTTTTTTCAGTTAAAATGTATGCCACTCTTGATGACTTAATTTTGTGTTTGATTTCAGCAGTCCAGTTTTTTGGCACTGTTTCCTCTTTCTTGTTTTTTGGGTTGTGAAGATACAAGATATGCCTAGTTTCATTCTTGTTCCTGAAGATTCTCGTATACTGCATAGCTGTAGTTGCAAACACTTTGGGAAATAAACTTTTTTTTAAAAAAAAGAAGAGATTGGAAGAGAAGATACTGGAAGAGAAACCACATACAAGTTTCTGCTGATCTTATGTCTAAGTTTGTTCTCATTAATTTTGAACTTAAGTCTGTTTATTCCAAAATGCCTACAATCTGTCCCTTACCACTGTGTGATTAGAATGTGCAGAAGCATTAAAATATCAAATTTGCATAAGAGTTTTTTTTCTCTTTATAGTCAGAAATTGAAAGAGAAGAAACTGCAAGCCAAGAAAAATAAACTTGAACAAAAGAAGCAAGAAAAAGGTCAGTGAAATTTAGTATTCTTTTCTCAAGACTTAGTTCTGCTCCATAATTTAAGCCTAGAAGGGTTTATTCTACTCTCCTTATCAACTCCAACCATTCCTGGTATATGGTTAGAAAGCCTGGACTCTAACCTTGATACTTCAGCTAATATTTCAGAAGTTCACTCTGAAAGTCCTTTAGGTTGCAATTCAATCTTACAAATAACTTGGATAACTGAGATTTAGCTTGGATAACTTGAGATTTAATCTTACAAATAACTTGGCTGTTTATGAATATTTTCCCTTTATTGGGGAGGTTTTGGACAGCTAACATCATCTGAGTTTGTTGGCTGGATATTCTGAGAAACTGCAAATTGGAGACATTTTATACTTAAAAAGGCAGCATTGCTAAAGCCTGTTGTTTTTGTGTATATTTTTAATGTATATGGGAAAACAGGAACCGTGGTGAGAGTAAAAAAAAAAAAATACACAGACACACAAAAATGCACAGCTTGCGCAGCAAGGAACTGACGTAGAATTTTGTGTGCAAGAAACTGAGCTGCCCTCGTGCCATCTGTTCCACACAACTCTACTATTTCATGTAGAAGTAAACATGGAAACTCTGACTACCTGTACTTTCCTTTAGTGTTGAAAATTAGTGTTTTGTAGCATCCGTGTTTTATTCAGACTTTTGAATTTGCATCCTTTGCTTCCTTTGAATGAGTGCACTTTAGCTGACTCTTAAAAATAGTTCTCCTTTGGTGGATTAGTGCACCAACTCTGCGATAATTCTTAGTCTCAAAGTTAGAACAGTTCCTGATAATTCTGCTAGAACAATGAGCTGTTAGATATATTTGAATTGAACCATTGCCAACCTCCCATATTGTACTTGTGCCAGGAAGTCATTGCAGCTTTTTAAAAAGCTACGAGTTTATGAATTGCCACTGGGAGGAGAATTAGAGTATGAATTAAAAAAAAAAAAAGATAAAGTGTGCCTGGGAGAAAGGGAGTTTGGGTCAGAGCATGCCACTTTTGGTAGGGAACTGCCTTATACGTGTTGTTGAGCTCAAATGTTTATTTGGCACAATAAAAAATGCATCTTCACAAAGCCTCAATCCAAACTCCTCTGCCTTTAGAACAGTTTTAGCTTCTCTGAATTGTTCTATATATAAGATTCTATATATAAGAACAAATGCACCCCCAAAATCTGGATTTAAAGACACTGATGGCCAGTTTTAGTCTACTGAAAATATTTTTGTTTGTTTGTTCTTTTAAGAATAAATAAGTCCTTAGTGTGATTTGCTGTCTTTCACCTTTGTGGTTGTAAAAAAATTTTTAGTGTCTTGCTCTATTCTTGATGTCAACTGTTATGTTATTTTGAAGAGCTTTCATATGACAATACAGAATGTCACCACGTGGTGGCATCAGACAGCAAGTCCTATATGCCAAGTATAAATGGTGAGTGCTTGAGCTGACCATGGCTAGATTTGGGAGATGATTAATAACGATACAGGAGCTACTGGGGACAGTAGAATAACTAGGTGCAGTGGCATCCAGGTCCCACTTTGTGAGGCCTGATTTCCATTATCCCGTGTTTAGTTGCTATGAGGTGTTTTTTCTTCTGGTGTTTTAGCAGGTTAAGACTTTGAGAGTTTTCTGTGGACCTGATTAATGTGACACTTTAGAGCTCCTGCTTTTATAGTAGAGCAACCAATGTGTAAAAGATTTTGGCACCCTATAGAGATCCTGAAATATGCTGAGCCTGGCACGTGGCTCCCTAGTGCCTGCATTCTTTGATACTTGGTGATATTTAGAAGTTCACAAAAGTATGATATTAGGAAGGAGATAATGTATTGCTTTAGTGGCTGATAATTTTTGTCTAAAACAATATTCAGTAAGGAGGTGGAGTTGTTTAATAATGAACTAGGCAGAGTAGCAGTATAGTTTGAAGGTTAAAGGCAAGAGAATATTCTTCTGAGGGAGAATTCCATGCTCTTGAGTTTGACCTCACTTGTTGGAATTAGTAGGTTCTAATATGCATTTCCTTGGTACGTGGAGCTATTTTGTTTTGATGTACCTAACAAGGAAAACACAGAGGGATATGTTATGAATTTGTACTAATTAATACAACCTAGTATACGATCTGCTGACACCTGAGACTATTTTGTTGTGAGCTGCTTAACAAGGAAGACACACGGGACCATGTCTTACTTCACGCTGTTTGTGTTTTAGAGTCTGATCAGTCTCAAGAGCGAGCAAGCAGCAAGGAGGATGAAGAGGACAGCAAGGAGGAGGAAGAAGAGAAGGAAGATGATGCTGAAGAGCTAAGTTTCGTAATGGGAAGAGGATGAGGCCTTTCAGGGACCGCTGGAAACACTGTTCATTGCTTTATATTCAGGAGCATGAAAACCTGTCATCTCAGCCAAGCAGAACCCATTGGCGTATGTTATACCTGCTTAACGGTGGATGGCCTTCAAACCACCAGTCCAAGAGCTATTGATAGAGAAATGCCAAATAAGAGATCTTTTTCTTAACTGCTTGTATAACTGCTGTGCAGTCTGCTCGAGGTTTGCTCTAAAGAGTCAGCCATAAGTCTCTGTGACCCTAAAATTCTTCCTGACATGGCCTAGAGTGTGTTTTTTTCTCTCTGAAACCTAAAACATACCCATTACCATTTAAGGAAAATACTACTGTGAGGACTATGTATTCTACATATGTCCAAGTTGGTGGCAATGGGATACCTGAATCTAAGGGAAGTGTTTAGCCTAAAGTAGAGAAATGGTCTGTAGCCAGACTTCCCTGCACTGTGAGTGTTCTGAATTTGGGGTTTTGTATGGGGTCATCTCTAACCCAAAGAAATCAGTTTATGTTGCTAGACAAGTTCTATACATTTTTAAGCAGCATCCCTTTTCTATTGCTAAAACTATCCCTATTACCTTTCTTCTTTTTTTTTTTTTAATGAATAAAGGGGATGTATTGGATTGTTCTGTCTGCTTTTATTTAAATAGGGTTTTGGTAAAATGAAGATCTGCTTGCAGAGTTGGAAAATGGAATAGAAAGACCAAATGATGTGGCATCTATGAAAAAATGTGTTAGAAGCTGCATATGGAATGGTTTTGGCTTGAAATTAGAACAATATTTTAAAGTGTTCTGAAAGGATACATCTGCCAAGCCTCCAAATCTTCTGGTGGACCCAGAATGGCAGGATTTTGTGTCCAACTACATGTAATAACACCTACCTTTACCTCTGCTTAAGCTCTCTGCTTTGAACTTCGTGCTACCTGCTCAACACCATAACATGCACATATGTATGTGTGTGTATATATATATATATGTGTGTGTACACACACAAACACATGCATTTGTTGGTGCATAAATGAAATACGCAGTTGTGGTTTCATTTTTAGTTCAGGTGAGAAGTGCCTGTCATCTTTCAGACATATTGACCCTGGGACCTCAGCACCCAGAGCATGGTGCCACTTCTTTTCAAGCCTTTGATAGTGCCAAATTATCTAAAGCAAAAACAGGAAAAAGGGACATCAGGCATCTTGTTTGTGCTGGCTTTATGAACAGCTTCTCTGTGGTTTTATCATGGCAGCGGGAAAGCAGATGTTATAAGTGCAAGTGACATTTGTCTTCAGTGTCCCTGTGTAATCCCAAAGACTTTGCACTTTTCTGAGCTGTGAGGTCCATTTTCCTCCCCAGGGCATAAATCTGTGTAGAATTGTTTTGCATTTAACCTTGGAATACGTTGTGGTAGTGTTTCATTCTCCGGCACTTCCAGTCTGAGAGGAGGCTGAAGACACAGAATGAATGTTCTGCAGTGGTTGGTATTTTCCATGTGGAGAGATGAGTTACGAAAACTGCTTCACTTGAATCCCTCTTAGGGTAGGTAAGCCCTGTTGATACCTCTGTGGAGTAGGTTCAGTGATAAAACTATGATGATGTTTCTTGGCTGCCATGGATGGAAAGGAAGGGAGTCTCGAAAATAAACCAATATTGCTCTGCCTCTGAGCTTGTCAGGCTTTTGAGGTGAATAAACACTGTTTTGCTTGAAATAGGGCAGATGTGGTGCGCAAGAACATGCTTCTCAGGTGTGAAGATGGACTTGAATTGGTCACGGTGAACTGAAGGAATTCCGGCTGTGCTGCCTCCTCCTGCCTCCATAGGGCTCCCTCATTACCCGTGCTGAATTATTCATGTGTGCCTTTTCTGGGAATGCTGAGTTTGTTTGTGAGAGCCATAAAAAGCAAAGGGAATGTGTTGCTGAAGGTGGCATCCGGCTGGCTGACAGTCTCCTTGCCGGATGGCTGGAAGTGGCAGTGGGAGCTGCATTTGCCATGTGTTGTGATGGATTCTCCAAAATACTATATGCCGTGTTGAGGTAATTTCAGTGTCTATGTCTTCCAGAGTACGAAGCCACTTGCTAGCAAGCAGCTCGAAGGGGCATTTCTTCATTAAGAATAAATACTAATGCCCTGTACCCTGAGAACAGGGATAATGGTGTCCGTGGTGCACGGAAAGGGAAGTGCTCCCGCCGCCAGTGAAACTAGGAACAATTCTACAACTTCTGCTCCAAATACAGCAGCAGAAAAGGAGTAATAAAATAAAGGATTTAAATAGCCAAGAATTGTGACCTGCTTAAGCTTGGTTCTCGCTCTGGATCCTTCCCTACAGGAGTCCCTCTCCTTCCCCTGAAGGAGGAGGCTCATCCTCAGGGAGAAGTTCTCCGCTGCCCCACTTCCACGGGCGCTCATTCGCCCGCCAGCCCCACGGGAGAGAGGTATTTGCCGTCGCAGAGGCTAAAGACTCACTTAGAGATAGCAAATGCATTAGCCTCTTCATTAGATAAGCTTCTAGGGATTGTTATCCGCTATTTATTCCGCCTCCCAAGCACGAATGGAATCCAGGAGGAGGGTTCTGCGCTAACGCTGCCCCGCAGCGTTTCCTCCCCTGCACAGGGGAGGAAGGCTCTCCATCCTCCTCCCCACAGCCCATGGCTCTTTGCATGGCTTTGAGCAGGATTTCCTGCTGAGTCAACAACGCACGGACGCAGGGAGCCGGTGGACACAGGGAGCCGGCGGCGCGGCGGCTGCCGGCAGCCCCGCTCACCGTGTTGGTGCTTCAGGCGGAGGAGCCGAAGCCGTCGCAGCCCGTTGGGCTTATGTAAGTGATGCCTCCTTGGTGTTCGTGTGCAGATATATATATATTTATAATTCATAAGTGAATAAAGGCACAGTTCAATCTCGCTTAGCCAAGAGCCTCTGTGTGGGAAGAGTGAGAGATGCAAGCTCTGCACTGGGATAATAGTTTCGCTAGAGTGTATTATTAATAATAATATCAATACTCATTATTTTTATTCAATACTCATTATTTTTTTTAACTTTTATTATTTTTATGATTTTATTTTTGTTATTACTTTATTATTTATTCTTGTATTACTATTTATTCTTGTATTACTATTTATTCTTGTATTATTTAATTTTTATCAATTTGCATTGTTATTTTATTGCTTATCAGAACTCGTGTTATTTTATTGTTATTTCAATGGTTTTACTCGCGCTGCGCGGCAGCGGGGCGTGGCCGCGGCGCTCCTGGCCCCGCCCCCTGGCGC